GATTCCGAATAAGAGCTGTCTGAAAATTATAAAGTGAAAGATAAAGTATAAAGTAGCCCTTTCACTCCCCTTAATAAGCAGTTGTGTTTCCCTTGTCAAGTTTCTGAACGTCAGCGTGGGAGGGGCTTCAGGTCAGGCGGAGGAACGCCAAGCAGACAAGAAACACTTGTTAGCTGTTGAGACGGCTCATTGTTTGTCTTTAAAATAATATTTGTGTGAAATAAATGTAAGTAGTTCCATAGTTTTTAAAAAAAAATTTCTGTCATGCTGTTTTGAAAGACCTAAGCACAGCTCATCTCAGGTTCTGAATCCGTAAAAATGGATTCTTCCCTCTTCAGTACCCGGCATAAGCCATCTGCTGCGACAGCGAGCTGATAATTTCACCAGTAATTCAGAACTCAGACCTTGTGGTAAATTGGCAGTCTTAGTACTTCCCCTCGCCTTCTTTTTTTCTTTTGCATGCTGGAAACTGAACCAAGGGAATACAGATGCAAGACATCTGTAGTCTTTCATAAAATCTTGTGGTGAAACAGGGTCTCACCCAGTGTCCTAGCCTGGCTTCCAACTCGGGATCCTCCAGCCTCAGCCTCCCTAAGGCTGGAATGGTAGGTGTGTGACCACCCAGGACCTGAGTTCTATTGACACTCGTTCAAGCTGTACATCTATCGTGCTGCACATGAAGTAATTCCAGCGCCCGTCCTGAGCGGCAATAGAGAAACACAGAGAAAGACACCCTTTGTGTCCTCCGCAGACACACAAGGAGTGTTACTAGAGGAGCAAGTGGGTACGGGCCGGCCCCCTCCATCCACGCACGGCATTCCGAAAAATTCATTCCGCAGCACACACACAAAGGAGGGTTCAGCTAGAATGGCTGGAATTCTTCTCATTTGTGAGATGTCATAGTTTGCATTATTCTTTGAGAGAAGAGAAACCTTGTCATTCTGTGTAAGTTCTCCGAATGGTACAGCACAAGCAAAAATACAGACTAGTTGAATTCTACTTCAAAACTCAGGACCACTGAGAAAGGCTGAATTCTACTCCTCCAAGGAGGAATTTTATTTCCTTCAAATTGAGCGTGAAATGTTATCTGATTTGGGCCCTAAGTACCTTGGGGACAGAATTAGAGTGTTCAAAATCTGAATCTGGGGGCAGCCTTACAGAGGCTGTGCTCAGCATTGTTTCTTCTTACTGGTGGCTTCTCTCCTCTGACCCTGAGCTGGGCTTCGGGCCCTTGCCCAGTGGTCACCACTGTGAGCATTTTAAGAGAACAAAAGAGATGAAGAAAGAAGGGCCTCAGTAAGGAGGCCACTGCGTCCTCTGCTCTCAGCCCCAAGGGACACTGCACCCCCAAGGACCAGGCGCAGTGTGGCTGGACCCACGTGACCGTACACGTGGAATCCCCCGCTACCCCCAATTTTCCATTCACCCCTATCTCACAGGCCCACCCGGACTACTTAAAAGAGGAGCATTCATCCTGGTACTCAGGGCAGTACAAAAGAAAATGCAATCTGTCTTTCTCAGTGTGCTTGGTACAAATATCCAAATTTATTTGCCTGTAGGTATTTGACTTATAAAATTCGGCCCACACGGTAGGAATCAATTTATAATTACCAAGATGTGTTATTACTCTTGATATTAAAACCAGAACCATATGATCATAAATGTATCATTTTATTTGGCATTTGCTTTCTTCATTTTCTTTCTTTGTGGCAGGACAAACTCAGTTAAGGGCAGTAACAATTGATCCTTTCAGAGAAATCAAGGGTCTGTTATGTGCCGAGCAGGAACAAGGGTCTTTGCCTGTTCATTGGATTTTATTTGCCTAATTTCTAGCTGTAGAACAAAAAGTGATTACAGGATAAAGGCAAACATGCAAGTTTTGATTCAGGAGCAAACATCCTCTCAGAATAGGAAGAGCTCCCTAGAAAAGGAAGGCACTTGGGTGCTGATATCCTAGGGGCTCACAGAGTATGAGGAGGAGGAGTTTCTGCTAGCCCTGTACAAGCTGGGCAATGTGTGTGTGAGGCAGAAGAACTAGGAGAACTATCTCAAGACAAAAGGGACAGAGCAAAGCTTGACCATGCATGTTCCATTTAGAAACTAAAGCAGATTCTCATCCTGGTCAATGTCTGGGGAGGCCTGGAGCCAGCTTAGGTTACGTGTGGTTGCCACGCCCTGCCTGGGTGGACAGAGGCCAGGGGAGCTGCTGGGCTTCCCACAATGCAAGGGATGGCACAGGGGACAGAGAACAGCCCTGCTCAGACATGAGCGTTGTCCTGTTGTGGGATCCGGGTGTGTGCTCTCTCATTCCCCCTGGACTGGAGGGCAAAGGACAACCCTTCAGGGCTCACAGCCCCCAGTCTGGGGCTGGATGAGTACCATGTGGGGCCAGACACAGGGCAAGGACCAATGACTCCTGGGATCTGACTGATGCAATGTGGGAATCCTGAGAGGAAAGAGAGGGTGGCATGGAGGGCAATGAGGCAGAAGGGGAATGGTGGGGACTCATGCAGACTCCATGAGGGGAAAGAGGGTGCAGGCTACTCAGGCAGTGACCCAACAATTCAGAAACACATACTGAGAATGGTGTCAGTACAGCAGGATGCCCCTCCTTGGGTCTAAGGAGGGAGGGAGGTAAGGAGGGAAGAAGGAAGGAAGGAAGGAAGGAAGGAAGGAAGGAAGGAAGGAAGGAAGGAAGGGGAGGGAGGGAAGAAAGGAAGGAAAGAAGGAAGGAAGAGGAGGGAGGGAGGAAAGGAAGGAGGGAAGGAAGGAAGAAAGGAAGGAAGGAGGGAAGGAGGAAAGGAGGGAAGGAGGGAAGGAGGGAAGGAGGAAAGGAGGGAAGGAAGGAAGGAGGGAAGGAGGGAAGGAAGCAAGCAAGGCAGGCAGGCAGGCAGGCAGGCAGGCAGGAAGGAAGGAAGGAAGGAAGGAAGGCCAAAGCATCAAAAGGCAAATGAAGACCAGTAGGGAAAGGAGAGAAGGGGAGGCGAGAAGTACACTGGAGGAGAAAGCCTGCCAGCCACAAGCCAGTGTGCCGGTCCCTGGAGGGCGCCAGTGCCACAGGGCCAGGTACCAGGTGGGGACTGGAGGCTGAGAACATGGCCAGTGCCCTGCCCAGTGACTCTTCCGGGTCCAGGAGGTAAGGCTTTTTCCCTTCGCAACCCCATGGGACTCTGCCTTCCCTGTCCATCCCGGCTGGGAGGCGAGGATCAGGGTGACTCTATAGATTCTCCAGTGTGAGACTCAGACATTTCAGGCAGGAAAGAAGAGTCAGCCAGAAAGTGCATTTTTGAACATTTCATACATACCTGGTTGATCAAAAAAAACAATGTTTAAATTTTCAAAGATTTGTTGCACTAAAACACACATTCCTGCCAATCCGCTTCCAAACACCCTCCCATCCCATCGTTCTTGCCACTACCTGAAGCAGTTTATAGCTTACATTTACAGCAATTTCTGTCAAATAAAAATGTTACGGTGCCCGCGTCCTCCTTCTTCACCAAAGCTGCATCTGGTTGTTATGCCTTGTGTGCAGATGTCCCCCCAAAGCTTCATGCGGTCACAGGTGGGGCTTTTTCCAAGACAACTGGGTCTTGAGTGTGTGAGGATGGGACTGGCTCATGGTGCAGGGCTAGGCACAAGGGCCTACCCACCCTGAGTAACTTGGATAAAAGGGGCAGAAAGGCAACATCCCCGTAAAGTCCCTTGCTTGCTTGCTTTTGCTGTCTTCTGCTTCTGTGAGATAGTTCTACTCTTTGATGCCCGCTGCCGCACCACACAGCCTTGGACCCAGCTGATCCTGGACTGAAACCTCTACAAACTGTAAATAAATCTTCCTTCAACTTTGATGTCAGGGATCTTACCTTAGTAATGACACCCAAATAACTAAAGACATGACTTTTCTTCAAAGCCAAAATGACTATGAAAGACACACGTGTCTAACTGACTCAGAATATCCAGGCAGCTGGGACATCATAGCTAAAGACATTCCTGAAAGAGGGCTCCTGGATGGCTTCAGAAAGTGGCAGAAATGATGGCATAAATGTGCTCAAAGTAAAAAGCAGGTTTTTGAGATGGCTTCTCAGCAACGTGCCTTTTACTATAGTACATTACTTTAAACTTAACCGCACACAGTCTGTCTCAATCATGTGATGTAGACTTCCCAGATGGGTACAGAAGGACGTCTAGCTAAGCCTGCAGGCTGGGTGAAAACGGGCCCACTAGGTGTCTCAGACTGAAAACCACAGCCCCAGTCCCGTTCACAGGGGCTCTTTCTACAGCAAATGGGGAAGGCAGATTTGAGCATTGAAAAGAAAAAAGAGCTATTGAAAAAGATACAGCAAATAAATTATAAAGGATAATGGTCAAATTATTTTGATATAATAGTCTTATTTATCATATAGTTTCTTCCTTGTAATTAGCCAGGAAGTACAGAAAGTGGGAATTCAAATATTATTTTAAAAACCCATGTCCACAGTTCTGAAATAAGATGCTAGTCAGTGAATACCAGAGCTGAGGTTAATGACTGACATCATAAGTTATATTTGATCTTATATCTGAGCCTCTTTGACAGTGGCTGATTGTAAGTTGGTTTTTCGCTTAATGTTAAACACTTTAGTGTTTATTGTGTGCATATATATTTTTATCTTAAATGTATAAATTTGGTACAGGATCTCACTAAACAGCAGGAACTTGCAGTGATGCTCCTGTCTCAGCCTCCCCAGTTCTGGGATTACAGGCATGTACTACCACGCCCAGCCTCAGTGGCTGGCACAGCACATCTGGGGTGGCACAGCATATGGTACCGGGCATCGAACCCGGGTCCTTGCACTTGCCACGCAGGCACTCAGACCACTGAGCTATCTCCTGGGCCCCGTGTGTATATTCTGAATAAGGCTTTTCCCTTTGCAGGCATCATCTGGTCAGACATTAAAATATATAGTCCTTCATATATAGTCCTTTGACACAGTGTGGCCGTGACCACACCCTCGCGGCACTCTTACCTTTGACTTGCCCTTGCTGTAGCAGGCCTTCTTGGTCGCCTCGTCGCACTCCCACTCCACAGCCTGCACAAAACACCAAAGCAACACCACCCATTACAGCAGGGAAAACAACAGAACACACGGTGAGCAGCATGGGAAATAACGTGGCCCCGACACTTCGGCTTCCATACCAGTGCAGATTGCACAGCAGATTCATGAAATGTCAGGGGCTTGTATCTGGGTTTAGAGTCGAGGCCTTCATCTTTTCTTTATCCTTTATTTATTTATCTATTTGTATTTAGACAGGGTGTACAGGATGTACAGGGTCTCACTGCGTAGATTGGACTCATAGTGACCCTCTTGTTTACAGCCTCCCAAGTGCTGGGATTACAGGCCCGCACCACCACACCCAGGCTCAACTGTTGTCTCAGTGTGCTCCGGGGGCAGGGCTAGCCTGGCAGGCCTGGGGATCGTCTCACTCAGCACTCAAAAGCCACAACTTCAACTACTTTTTCTCTGATTTTCTGAATCTAACTCATGCTGGCCAGTTTGATATGTGTATTTTCATACCAGAAATCACAAATAGACTATGTGATTAGTTAAGATAACAGAGAGGGCTCTCATCACGGGCATAAATGCTATCTGGGCACAGTGACATATGGAGATTCTGAATAAATGTCGATGTCAGTCTAGTTTTTCCTGTCTGTAATTGGATGCTGTCTAGAATTTTACAGAGTAAAATATTTGCTCCATTTCTTCACATGCTATTGCAAGTATTTTTCATCGTCCTACTAGAATTGCATTTCTGAAGAATCTGACATGTTTACTTCTTAAGTCTTAATAGAAAAATGTTTAATCTGGAGATAATTTTTATTAATTTGGAATAACGTCAATTAAAACGAAATCAAAGATAAAGTACTGTGGAATCATCTGAAGGGAGTATAGCTCTTACCCTTGCGATTGGCATGATTTCTTTTTCCAGTTCGCCTAAATTTGACAGACTAATGACGGCAGGCTAAAAAGCACATCTAAAAATCTTCAGTCCTCGGAAGAATGTTACATAACAGATTAAATCATAACACACTGCATAACAGGACTAAATTATCTTACTTAGCAAACAAAGGTCGTTAAGAAAACACCCCAGAAAGAACAACTTCTGGCCTTTTAAACAGAATCCATATTGTAACTATTTTTCCTTGTGCAGACAGGAAGGTTTTTATCTGATAAGAGAATTTGTTCTTTCTGTTTTGTTTCCCTGTACATGACTCTTGATGGCAAAGAGAAACGAGTACTCAGTGTCTGAATTCCAGCCAGGACGGCAAATATTTTAACGAAAAGTGATGATGCGCTGAAAGGTAAAAGCTCCACATGCACTAGGGTCTCTAAGTCCCCGGAAGTGCAGAAAATAAATGAAAATAGATGCATTGTGCTAATGTGAGTTGATCACCACTAAATTCCTTCCTTGCATCTTTTCACTTTGTTGCTTTGGTTTAAATAGACATTCATTACTCTGCCTTTACTTGAAGTAGGATTGATATATCCTACGATATAATCTCTCAGAAGAGTAAACCTCATTGTAACTTTACCTTAATATTCCAAAAGAGGTGTGTACATTCTTCTTCACAAAGAATAATTAATGGATTATGATTACTAGGAAAACTATACAGTGAAATGCGTTAGCTAAAGAGGCATTCCCAATGGTTCTGCATGGTATAGCGATTTTGTTAAAAGTTAAATATTAAGCATCTGCTCATTAGACAGAAGAGCGAGGAAAAGCAGGGTTAGTCCCAGGATTAGGGAGAAGAATGCCACATGCCATCAGAATTGTTTAGTTCCAGCTGCTGACGGGGCAAGAACATCGCTTTCCAAGTCTATGGAGCGTGCAAGCAGGCTTTACGGTCTCGAGATAAATGTGGCCAAAAGACTGGAAGAGGAAAAAAACTGAAAAAAGAACAGGAGAGTTTTTATAAATATTCCATTGTTTTACCCAGTTTACTTAGAAATAGCAACTGCTCATCCAAGTTTATTAGACAAACTGAAAATAGGTTTTTCCAAAGACAATTTATTCAAAGTGAAGTTATTTTTCTTCAACATTTTTATTATAGTATCACCAGCATTGCCAATAACACTCAAAGCCAGAAATAATGAAAGACAATGATTGTAGAAGCTTTCCATGGATTCACATTCCAGTAACATAACAGAGAGAATGAAGAAAATTTTATATTAAAGAAGGAATTTTACTGATGGTAGATAATAGTAGCATGTCACAAAATGGTAAATGGATCTAAGGGAGAGAAAGTAACTTTTCTAGATTCCTCTAGAACAGAGAGTTCCAGTGATTTTACTCACTACCTCGTGAACCAGCCTTGGCCCCCTGGGTTACTTGGTGGCTACAGGGGAAAGTGCTCCACAGAAGACAGGGACATCATCCGAGCCTGCTAATATCTGTGTCTGTCCTTCTGCTTAAATTTAGCATTTTTGTAAAGCTGTTTAGTCAATTATTTTATTAGATTTATGCTAATCAATTAAATACCTTTTAATCAAGCTATTCATTTCTATGTTCACAAAAGACAGATTTTTCTTTCCTCTAGTATTATTTTGGAATAAAGCCTAGTTGTTGATTTGATAAGTCATTTCCTGACTGGTCCTTAAATTTATTTCAACACATTTCTAATACTCACACATAGCTTTGCAACAGTCCACAAAGTACTCAGGTATTCTACATTTCAGACTTCAATTCGACTCTCAGAGTCATAATTTCTGCACCTTCTTTGCTGAAGAAATCTTTAATGATTAGCATCATTTGTCTCTTTTCTGCGGCAGAATAGTCCAGAAATAAAAGAGCTGTTTATTGTCTTCTTTTTCTTTCTTTTTTTTAAAATGTGTTTGATACAGGGTCTCACTACACAGCTCAGACTTGTAGTGATCCTCCTGTTTTCAACCTCCCCAGTGTTGGGATTACAGGACTGCGCCACCACTCCCGGTCTTGTTTATTGTTTTTCTATTCAAGATTTACTATCTACCATCTAGCAGATACAACACATTTCACCAAAGTGTGGAAAGACTAAATATAGCAGGTAAGAAGTTAAAAAAAAATTTTGCAGTTTACAATGACACACACATTCTTGCTTGTGGCCTTTTTTGCTCTAGCTACATGTCAAAACTATCTGTGGCATGGAAGAGCTTCCAGAACCCTTGATTATTCCCACACATTTCTTCTCTCCTTCACTTAATGCCCACTAAGAACCTTCCAAGTACAAGATATTCTCCTAGATAATGACTAGTAGAAGGAAAAACAGACATAGACAATGTAGGTACAAATCATATCTTAATTTGCAATAAAATATATGAGAGCATCAAATGAGCCTAGCCAGCACCATGTGAATGCTAAGATGAGAACAAGGCTCATTTTCCATGGGTACCATGGCTCAAGCTGCTTGGTTTCCAATGTGCCCATGCACTTGAACTTCGAGCACCCTACCTCTCAGGAAGTGACAGCTCTGTAGACACTGAAATACAGCCACAGGCAGGGTAGGCTCAAAGAGAACCCCTTTAATAGCTTCAGAAGTCCCCGACATGGGAGAAAGTGCCACCTGCATGTGTCACTGAACAACCCACACCCCACTGTTCTGCCCATGGACACGTTCGAGTTATGATAAATGGGGCTATGATCTCAGGAGTAATTTGGGTGCTGGAATGAAAAAGAGCCTGGACATCTTTATGTACATGGTACACATATATAAATCCACAGTTCTCAGAAGTATATAAACAAAACGGTGTAATATTGCATTCCACAGCAAGGGAAGTTAATTAGATAGGGACTTCTGATGGGAGATACTTTCATAAAAATGAAGAGAACAACATTCTAGGCAGATGGGCCATTGCTCTTTCAGCAGATGGCTGTGCTAATTAGATACTGGCAAAAGATAACATTAAAAAAACTAGTTTAATCACACAGCGCCAAAAATTAACAACCACCTGAGGGCTTTTTTGTTCATATATTTGTATTCATATTCTTATGTATTCCTGTGACACACTGGAAAATGTCACCGTCGTGATGATGAGCAAATTGTCAAGGGGTGTGAGATCACGTCAAAACAGAAGCACAACTCAAATGAGTTTAACTCTAAAAACTCAAACCTAGATTTCAAGTGACTAGAGTAAAATGTCAACCTAATTAACCTTTCATGTGAATGTCTTCACCGATTAACCTGGTGGTCACACGTGTTAGTTTCTTCCTTTCTTTCTTTCCTTTTTTCTTTTGTATTTTAGGACAGGATCCACAGGGTCTCACTGCCAAGATCAGGCTCGTAGTGATCCTCCTGTTTACAACCTCCCAACTGCTGGGATTACAGGCACGCAACACCATACCTAGTCTCAATCACTATCTCAGTATGCCCCGGGAGTAGGGCCAGCATGGGAGGCCAGGAATCGAACCCCTAGCCGAGTCTGCCTAAGCAGGCGCTTTAATCCGCTGAGCTGTTTGGCTGGCCCTACATGTGATAGTTTCAAAGCAAGTAAAACTTGAATTCAATGTATTCAATGTCATAGAAAAGTAAACATTATAATTATGTGAAGGAGATTTGTCCAATATTTTTCTTTGCCTTTATTTTTTGTGGATATTGTGTTTATTCTTCATGTTAATTTTCAGTACATTTCCGTTCAGTACACATCAAACACAAGTCCGTGCAACTCTCCCCTCCTGGAAACCTCAAAACCAGGAGGCTTGGCAGGTGTTTTAGTTACTCTTCTCTCATTGCTGGGACAAACACCCAACACTCAAAATGAAGGAAGGAAAGGTTTATTTAGCTCACAGTTACTAGAGGTTTCAGTACACAATCAGCTGGCTCCAAGGCAGAGCGGCACATGGCAGAGGGCAACCTTTCATGGCTGCGGCAAAGAGCAAGAGCTCAAGCGAGAGGTAGCAGCAGCTCAAGCAGCTAGCTTCTCTGCCCTCCTTACGTTGTAATGCAAATTACCTGCCCCATGGCAGGTGCAGCATCCACACCCACAGTAATTAATCACAAATTCCAGATGCCACCCCGCCCCATGAGTGCATGAGCCTTTGGGGGGACGTCTAGACA